AATTTTTTTTTTTTTTTTTTTTTTTGAGCAAATCAACTCTTTTTCTTTTATTTTTTGGTGGGAGCCAGAGCACATCATGTTGGCCAACTAACCGCACTTTTCAGGTGATGGAATCTAAGCTAAGTCCCAATTACTTTTTTTTTTTCTTTTTTGGTTTCCTTCTCTTCTTTCTTGTCTTTTTTCTATAATACTATACTAATATTTCTTACATTATTATAAGTTTGAGAGATCAAAGGTGTGATCGTTTCTCATAGTTGTTAGTAATTTCACCATTATATTATTATTTTCTGTGTCAAAAGACAAGAGTTTTTCTTTTGTTTTAAAGGAGGAAAAACATAAATGAACAATAAAAGTTGGTGCTTCTTACATTTGCCGAGCCAAGTCCATGAAAATACGAATATGACTACTTAAGCCCATTAACAATGGCCCATGTAGTCTCTAATTCATCTCTTTATGGTTGTCCTGTCCCACGCCAATAGTTCCAGTTCACGGACTAAATTCTACATTGCCCCACTCACTATCATCTTCATTCTATTTTAACCCATCTTAAATTTGATTTTTTTTTTTTTGCTCAAACTCTAAGTATGGTTATAAAATCAACAACCCTTGATAAATCAGTATTATGTGTAATATGAATTACTAGAAACTACTTTGAATTACTATGAATTACTAGAAACTACTTTAAATTACTAGAAAACTACTATGAACAAAAAACAAATTACCTTGAATTACTAGAAACTACTACGAACAAAAAAAAAAAGTGGGACAGTGAGAAAAATGGTGGAGTAGTTAGAATAGTTATTTTCCAACTGGGGTATATTAGAATACTTTCCCCAGTTCACGCAAATTCTCAAAAGTGATTTTTAAAAATAAAATAAGTACTCCAAGAAGTAAGAGATCAATTTACCAATTGATCATCTCATAATTATTTTACGAATAATTGATTCTACTTCACGAATAAAAAGTTTTATACTGAATTAACCAAAAAAACCTAAATCTAAGTAAAATTGGTTTATATGACAACATATATGACGTAAATCATTAGTTCTCGAACCTAAATGCAAACTCACCATTTGTGAGTGTCTTTATATACAAGGTTCATTATCATACCATTTTACTTTGCATAATTACCTCAACTTTATGATAATCACATGTTTGGACCCTCCACCCACTATATGAGCTATGTATTAATTATTAATTTCATATACCCCGGTTTGTGTATATTGGTGACATGTATCATTGTTTCTAGCTCCATGAGTTTTTCTTGTCTCTTTCTCTTTTTCTTCCCCCGAACGGCATGAGTTTGTTGTTTATACATTTGACCCTCCTGTCTGTTCGATTTGGTTCATATAGTGAATACCAAAAACTAGTAGAAAACACTTACAAGTAAGAACCGTATCTCCCTAGTAACTATATTATTGATGTAATACTATTAGATATAAAACAAAAGTCTATCCTTAACCTACCTAGTATATATAATTAAAATGGGATTATCTTTTTGGCAGAATCTCAAAAGTATATTTATCATTAAATGGAATTCTCATCGCTCTATAGCTTCTTTTCTTTGTTCCAAAATTCTAATTCACCATATTGTAGTGTACATTACTCAAATCAACAAAGGCAGTCTTTTTAAACGAAAAAAAATTAAAACGAATTTCAGTCGCATTCCAAAAAAGTGTAGTCGGATAACTTATTTAGCGACCAACACATCATTATCCTTAAAAGGCTATACTATACTAGTGCGTATATATATGCATGCATTAATAAATATTAAAATGAGACATTTGAAAAAGCAAGCGCAATCTATGCATGTCAAAAAAAACTTTGGATATCTCTTTTGTCCTCGATCAGTTTGTTAATAAACTAATTTATCAAAAGCAATTGGTAATCTTTTAAGGTTAAATCAATCTTCGACCTAAACATTAGTTATAGTTGGGTCATATCTATCAAAGCTCTATGACAACTCCTAAATTAAGCCATTGATTGCTAATTCTTATTATTCTAATATTTATTGTTTTTAAGTTTGTGGATTTGTTGTCCCCAATTTTTTTTCTTTTTCATGTGATAGATCCATAGCTAAGTACTTAAGTTGAGAAGTGAGAAATAGTGGCGCATATCTCATAAGATTCAACCGACGACAAAAAGACTAATAACTAAAAAACTATTAATATGTAAGAGAAAAATAACTAATATGTGAGTAAGTGACCAACCAAACTTAACCGGCCAGATTCTTAAATTTTATCGGTCCCATAGTCCCATGTGTTTTTATGGCTCTTATTCACTGATCGTATTTATTCTATGGCAATTATTATGAACGATACACTGTATGGTCCGAAACATAGCTCAGTTATTTTCCGGTGGTTGATGTAGCAAAGTGACAAATTTCTTCACCGAATTTCTTATTTCTCTATTGTCTGCTAAAACAAGAATGGTTACCACGTAATCTGATAACAAAAATATTTACAATATTATACAAAAAAAAAAACATTTTACAAGAAAATACTTGAGATAGAAACAAAAATCCATGTAAGAGAAGGTATTTATCAAATCTACCCTCAGCTCTCATATAAAAAAAACTTCCACAATCAAATCCCAAAAATCCAAACGTATATTACATATATATATAATCTTCATATTAATCAATCAGACAAGAACAACTAATGTAATTATTTTTATGGGTTTTTTTTACCAAGATCTGATGGATTTCATGACACTCCAAGATAGAGATTATAGATGAGTACTGTTGTTGATGTTAGCTACATTGGTGGTCTCGTAAACAGGCAAGCCTCCACGAGACAACTCGTAGTTCTGCAACTCAAATAAATCAGAACTTGAATCACTCTCCATTCCATCATCATATCCCTCTCTCTTTATTCTCCGATCATCATCATCATCACCATCATGGTCAGCCCAAAACTTCTCTTTTTCTGAGAGGTTTTCCATCACTTTAAGTTTCTCATCAAGCCAAGCCAACTCTTTGTTTATTTTCTTTTCCTCTAGCACTTCCACTTGGTTTGTGGCAGTTGTGAAATTCAAGAACTGCTTGTAGTTCTTGGTGGGTGTGTTTAGATAAGGAGGAGGAGTTCTGAAACCCGAGCTTGACGACGAGAAAAGAGATTTCGATGATGATGATGTTGTTGTGGCTGTTGAGTTAGATTTGCTTGAGCTTAAGAAATGGCTGATACTGCTTCTTCTCCTCCTCCTCATCCATCCACCTCCATGGATCTCTTCTTCGACTTCTTGGTTCGTTGTCTTTGCCTTTGACTTGCTCTTCTTTGAACCCATTAAAGAGTTCAAGAAGCTGGCGATTCTTCCACCAGGTGAGCTTGGTTGCTTGTGTCTCACGTTACCAAACCTCTCTTTGATTATTGTTACGTCTTGTTTCTCAGGATGATCTTGGTGAAGACGATGCACTTGCTCTGAACATCTTATCGGCAAATCCAGGCTTCTTCTTCTTCCTCCTCCTAATATTCCCCATCTCCTTCGATTCTCCTCTCTCGCGGCGTTATAGCCATACTTTTGTGTGTGTCTATGGTCACCGGAGGAGAAGTCGTTGTAGCCGGAGAAGTATACGGCGGCCTCGAACACGTCGATCTCGTCTGAATAAGCATCATTGCGCTTCTGAGAAGACATTCTCTTGGAGATCTTATCTGGTTCTGCTGATGAGATCCCTTTCATGGACATTATTTAATTAGGGTTTTGAAGATGAGATACCTAGTTGATAAAGAGGAACAAGTTTATAGTATATGATAGAATGAAATATAGTTTAGGTTTATATAACAAGAGATAATGTGACATGTAGCTCCGTCATCATTAAGTAAGGTCATAGCATGTGAAAATACGGGGTCGTAAACGTATATATCATGCGATATCCATACGTCAATATGTAATATTAGTGGATTACGATAGTTTATATTTTAGAATGATTACAATTAAATGGTTTGAATGTTGAAAAAGTTAGAAATTTGGAGGGACATATGTCATAAGAGTTTGTGTGACCCACTAAATGCGTGAGTGAAGAACTTAATTGAAGGAGAAGGTGGGCTCATTTGATTTTATGAGCTTTCTGATAAGGTGTAGGAAATTAATTGATTGTATTTATGATAATGTGGGGGCTATCCTCTCTGGTGTGCTTTGGATTCCAAATTTGAAGTTTTTTTTGTGCAATTTACTTGTGCCCTTGGTTTTCGAAAACTTGTTCGCTAATGTACATCAATCCACACACAAACCATAAGTCCATTAAATTCTATTTATACCGGTTAGAGCATCATTAGTGGAGTATACAGTAAAAACAATAGAATTAAACTAAATAAATAAAAATTAAACAATAATAGAGCTGGACCACTTATTAATAAATGAAATCGGTTTAAGGAATTTTTTTGTGTTGTGTTCAAGAAAGCAATTTTTGTGTGATTTCAATCTTATTTTTTAGATCAGACTTTTTTCTTAGAATTTGAATACGTGTATCTCTTAATTTAGTAAAATAAACAGTGTGACTGTATTTTTTTATCTTTTGAAGAAGAGCTTTGAAATCACTCATCCATGACAGTTAAAGTCTTTATTCAGTAATCATGAGAGTCAAGTAAATTATCCTTTTATAACGACTCACAAGTTAGTATTTAGTGCAATATATAACATGATAGATAACCTTTCAAATTCTGCAAAGAGAAATCTAATGTGAAATTTGTAGTAATGATACTATCCAAAAAGAAAACATATTGCTATTAAATTCATCAATTTTAAAATATTAGATATGCCGGATGAGTGAAAGTTTAAAATTTACTAGTCTTTCTTCTATTTTTCAAAGAACCGTTTTGCGACTTTTACTTTTTGTCGTTGTAAATAATTGACCTCCATTAACAATCTTCGTCGCTTAGCTGAACTTCTGATATTTTATCCGTGATTATATGGTGTTATGGACTTACGGTATCTCAGTCCAAATTAATCTTCAACTTAATGAATTATTTGGTTAATATTTAGGGTATAAGCCAAAGCAGACTTGTTCAGCCATATATAAAATCTTCTTTTGAAGTTATCTAATCCGAACCATTCTATCATTTGTATATGGCCAATGAAGTTTGGTATTATGTAGTCTAAAACAATATAGAACCAATCCACTTTAATGTGCAGGATGTTACTTAGTTAATGACCAAAGATAAAAAAAGTTATAGGAACAAAGAAATATAACTTTAACTCATAAACAGCTGCTCGAATGTATAAGAGCACTTTGTTCATTGGTTATGTATGAGATATCCTATAGAGGATTTCTCAAATCTCAATACAGTATTAATATTTTAACAGCATAACATCAGAAGGCTGTTCTTTGATAACAAAAAAAAAGATCTAGAATAAAGAAGAAAAATCGGGGCTCACGAAGGAGGCAACGTCACGTTGTTTAGATTCCATACTAAATGGTTACAAAGGCATGACAGAGACATACCACGAATAGTAAGTAGTGGTTAAGATGATATTCGAGCCCACACGTGCGGAGACATGTCAAGGGAAAGGACACGTGACATGGTTTTGGTTGTACAACAAAGACATAACTACAGAAGAGCTTTGTTCTGAGGCGTAGACGTTGAAAAGGATATGATAAGAGCACCTGAGCCCCCTGGTATTCTAGTGGACAGTTGCATCTACATCTCCATCATATCTAACCAATCTTTATTATTCATGAAAATAATATTTATTTTCTTTAGCCAATAAATAAAGAATCATTTTAGTTTTATATGTATATTAACAAAAAAATCTGTTCAAATCAAAGATCGCTATATATTGATATGATTGTCAAGTCAATATCCGGAGTTTGGAGGAATTCGTGAAGGAAACAAAAGAGGGAAAATTGTAAGTTAGCTTTCCAATATTGTGAACCTCTTAAAGTTGCTTCGTATGGCTATGCTTCTGTCACCAATCCTTCTATCAAACACTTCCCATGTGTTCGTTTTCCTCCTCTGAAACTATCATCTCCCATTGCAAATCATTCAAGTAGCTAGGAACAGCCGAAACACGATAAGTTATTACTGGGCCCATTTAGCCCCATAAGTTTATCGTATTTTTTGATAATGGGCTCAAATGTTTGGCCCTACAAATGACAACTCTTCGAACTATAACAAACAACAATGCCCACCATAATCTCTCTCATACCATCATCCATACAGGATTCAATTTAAAATCAATGGTTAAACCTCTTCCCAAAGACTCTTTATCTTTTTACAAGTGATAATTCACGTATGTTTTGTTATTAAATACTTGATCCAAAATTAGTCTAGTTTCATTCCATGATATTAAAGGGTATCAGACTATCATGTTCAGTCAAAAAAAGGTATCAGACTACAGCAAAAACAAAAGGGACTGGCTATCAGAGATATTTGATGAAAGAGCCCAAAGGCCATGTGTGTTTTTTTTTTTTGGAAGGCTGGGGAGTTGTTCATAATCGCTCCCATGCTATAACCGAAGAGGATAAGATAAGCGTGTAATCAATCACCAAAGATATGAAAGGAGTGGCTTTGAACCACGTTACCAGATTGGCTTTGTCTCTTTTTTATTGTTGTTATTTTTTTCCTTTGGCCACAAACACTAAAAGAATCCACCACACTATCCATCTCATTTTTAAGTTTGACGCGCACTGCCTTTTATCTTTTTACCACATTTTCTTATTTCTTCTCATACCGCAATTGAATTTGTTTCTTACTAGAAAATATTGTGAATTTAAAACGAAAATATTGTGAATTTGAAGAAACTACAGTATGTGGAGGGTAAAAAAAAAGGAAGCAACGACAGTAAAGGAAGAAACTACAGTGTCTTCTTTTCTATTTTGATGCCAACTTCCACGATTTTTTTTACTATTCCTTCATTAAGACTCGAGAAATAATGAAAGGGTTCTATAACTTCTATTCATGTATTTAATTAACTTTGGCGTGGGCGGGAGAAGACCAGAGGACTGTGATGAGAGGGATGGAAATATAATTGGCTTACTTACACAGCTTTGTCAAAAAGATGAAAAAATTGGCCTATACAGGTTTCGAACCTGTGACCTTCGCGTTATTAGCACGACGCTCTAACCAACTGAGCTAATAGGCCTTTGAACAATCTGTAACGATTTTGTATCTAATCGAAATATTTAGGTTTTAGTCGGCAGCTTGATCCAAAGCCTCATTAATTCAAACAAAACACAGGTTCCTGGATATTAATTTCTTTTCTAACATGAGTAACTAGAATAATGAAAACTCGAATACTTTTCGCTACCTAACACTTGCGTACAGTACCTTCTTGCTTCGTTTCTGAGTTCTTAATTTCTTATATATATTTATATATGAATGTATACAGAAAAAGAGAGACATGAAAATGAAATACAGAGGTTTTGTGGTGAATGTAACACGAAGTATATATTCATTAACGTGGTTGTTAGAAGATAGCAACATAGATGCTAGCTGCTGTGTATCATATTTATTTCTGTCAAATATAATTATTTTCGATTGAACGTAGTATATAAATCTTTCTAATTTATAGCAACGGTCGTTTCGGTAACAGAACATAACTACATCTATTATATTAAAAAAGAAGTCATGATTTCTTGTGTGATTTTTTATACAATGGACTATCTACTAGAGATGGTCACATTATATATTTAATCATTAATAACATTCATTAGATTCACTAATAACATTTATTGGACTTACAATAAATTTTTATTGGGCTAATAAAAATTAGATAATCTATTGAATTTATAGATAGTATAATAAAATACATGTTTAAATTAAACTTATATAATTTAATATTGTAATAGTATAAGTTAATTAGTTATATATTTTCGATGTTAACTTTAAAAATTATATAGTTATTTTTAAAAATGACAAAAATATCATTTTCTAACAATAATTATCTATATTATATAATAATTAATCATTATTTTCGATATACACACCTTATATAATATATCATTTTTAATATACACACCTTATATAATATATACCAATTTAGAAGTAAAAACAAAATGTTTATATTAAAATAAATGAAAACAAATACCCGCGCGGTTACGCGGGTTGAGATCTAGTTCATAAGTTAAATGTTCAACTATACAATTCCATTAGAAAAAAAAATTTCTAACATGACACTAACATCGGTTATTTAGCAAAAAAGGGTTAACCTTCAGTTTATGTTTTTATTTGTAAAGTTGAGAACGTTACAAAGATACATTTAGATGTGTATATATAGAATGGTGGGGCTAAAAGCTAATGATTTATAAATTAATTGGAACATTTGATGTTGCTGGATAGGACCCCCAACTTGCTCGTTGATATAGACTTACTTTAGACAGCTATGCTTCATTCATTTCTCTTGAAAATTTGAGTTTCCACGTCATCATTTCTTATGATCGCTGTCCAGTCTACATAATTCTTTTAACTGTGTATAATGTTTCGCTTGAAATTAAATATCCTCGGTATATTATATTGTCTGAGAACTCTTGAGTTTGAAACTCATTAGTGTAAAGATTTGAATACTATACTCACCTAAAATTCACTTATTGTTACAAAATCAGGAATTAACAAACATGAATGAAAATATCCTACGCTGAGACACTTAATGGGATCCGATTGAAAACGACTATTACGTTTTTATACGTTCGGTCATTTATTTTTTTGAATTATACAGAGGTATCCTGGCCTCACAGAAGTGATCCAGACTAGTCACGTGTTTCCACGTGTCGGTCCTCTGTCCCTGGCGATGCCGAAATGTTAATTCCCCAGTGGCCGAGATTCGAACCCAGGTGGCGGTACTCACAGCTGTAAGCCCTTTACCACTTGAGT